GGGGACTCAACGTTCAGTGTTCTATGGGCAAAGTAGAGTCTTGATGTGGCACTCTAAGATAAACACTGAACTGAAAGGTCGGTTTGAGCCACAGATCGGTGGTTCAAACTCATCAGCTGCTCCTCAGAAACCCCATTCAAAGTCTCTAGGAGTCATAACTGACTCGACGGCACTTAACAACAACAATGGGCAAAAATATTGAATGCTATAGAAAGTATCAAAATACAGAAATATCAAAATCCAGAAAGTATCAAAAAAGGTAATACATAGAGCCACTGTGCCAAAAAGAAATGGTCCATGTTTAACCATTTCAAGGGGTAACATATGATCAAGAACCAATGGTACTGAAGGAGGAAGTCCAAGCTGTACTGGGAAAAAACAAGACTCCAGGAATTGATGGAATGCAAATTGAAATCTTTCAACAAACTGATGTAGCATTGCAGGTGCTCACTCATCTTTGCCAAGAAATTTGGACGACAGCTACCTGGCTAACTGATAAGAAGATTTCCATGTTTGTGCTCTTTCCAAAGAGAAGTGACCCAACGGAATGCAGAAATCATCAAACAATATCATTAAAATCAGATGTAAATAAGTTTTTGCTGAAGATAATTTAAAAGCAGCTGCAGTAGTATATCAACAGGAACTGCCAAAAAATCATGCTGGATTTAGAAGAGGAAATGGAACAAGGATATCATTGCTGACATCAGATGGATCTGGACTGAAAGCAGATAATACCATAAAAATGTTTACTAGTATCTTATTGACTGTGCAAAGGCTTTCGACTATGTGGATTGTGACAAACTATAGATAACATTGTGAAGCATGAGTAATCCAGAACATGTAATTGTACTCAAAACTCGTACATAAACCATAAGGTAGTCTAGAACAGAACAAGGGGATACCAAATGGCTTAAAATCAGGAAAGGTGTGTGCTCAGGTTGTATTCTTTCACCATACTTATTCAGTCTTTATGTTAAGCAAATAATCTGAGAAGCTGGATTATATGAAGAAGAGTATGGTATCATAATTGGAGAAAGATTCATTAACAACTTGCAATATGAAGCTGATGTAACCTTGCTTGCTGGAAGTGAAGAGGACTTAAAACACTTCCTGATGAATATTAAAGATCACAACCTTTGGTATGGATTGCACCTCAATGTAAAGAAAACAAAAGTCCTCAGAACTGAACC